CTTTAATATAGCACAAAATTAATTTGAAAAAATCTTCTAGAAAAAGTTTAATCTTCTAAAAACATAATCAAGTACTTTGTCTGCCCTTTCAATGCTCTGCAATGCTTTCAACTGATACATTTTCTCTTTGGCAGATACTAGACCACTATTCACAGCACCAACTGCTTGCCAAAAACACAATTCCTTGAATACAGCATCACTGAAAAAACGAAAGATAAAGACTGCCAAATAGCTCTTAATCATTCCATAAAGGAAATAATGATAAATCAAAAACAGTAATGGTTCAACATATAATTTCAATGCTCTGCTTTTCATAGTGCTATAATAATAAACCTCATTACATAATACTAAAAACCAAAAAGACTAATCCATTGACATAACGGTCATAAATGAAAAAGGTTTCGAACATCACATACTTTTTGAGCTTAAATTCTTTTTAAAAGACTAAAACATAAAAAATACCGTTCACAAAGTTCAATTTCTCTGTCGATATCAAACAACCACTTCCGAAGAAGGATACAAGATGATGCTGCAGATGAATAATTTTGGATATACAGAGCATGCGGACATTCATCATCAGCTATCTTGCGCTCTAGTGAAAATAAACAATAGATTACGTTAAAAATAATATCAAACTTTGTATCCACAGAAAGTATCCGTCACTTTAAGTTAATGTTTATATATTACAGAAACTCATAGAGTCTGCAGTCTAAAGTTCTTAGTCTTTAGTAGCCAGGTCTATCTTCCTGCTTCGTTTTTTTTATAGCTCATGACCAGTTCATTCGAATTTAATTATATCTAGACTTCTCTAATGGTTAAAAGTATTTCAAGAAAATACGAAAGAACAAAAATGAAATACCGAATCCTGATTCCGTCATTTCAAATAATGCGCAGTACTTGCTTGCTTCTACAGAGATATTCAAACGTTTTTGTGTCGCCTGAAAAAATTTTGAAATCTAAAATATCGTAGACTGCTATAGCAACAACATTATAAAACTATTTTAAATCAAAATATTTTGAATAATAGAAAACAAAAAAATGAAAAAATTTTGTTGCATATATAACTACATTAGATTTCAAAATATTTTTAAAAATACATGCATAGTTTACTTAAAAGGAGCTTATAAAATCTTGCCATTGAGTATTTGAGAAACAAAAAAAGGAGCTGAAAATTACCTTATACAATTCTATGGCTGTACAATGACGCTTTATATTTAATAACAAATAATTCCCATCAGGCAACAATATGCGGATATGTACATCAGCAATTGCACAATCTGATAAGGAATCTTCCATCAAAAACTCCTATAATGTAAGAACGTTGACTGATTTAGTTTACACATATTACTTTCATTGAAATTAGAAGATGAACTATGACTGAAAATATTATAACCACACATCTCATGAACTATGTCAGCAGTGAAGTGAGCAGTCAATCTCTACAAAAAATTTTTACAAAATTATTTGTATCTATTTTAAAAATTCATAAAAGAGAAAGAAAATTTCAGAGTTCGTATTCAAAAAAATAATAAAATTTACTTGCATGATATCTGAGTCGGCTATAACCTTTACAGAACAGATTTTTTCCAAATAGCACTCAAGACCTCGTCGACGAGCATCTAACTGATGTTCTGATAATGAAAAAGGCCATTTGTTCGGTAACTTTGGAAAATTAAAATCGATAAATTCATTCTTGAGTAAATTATGTAATTGAACAAATTCACTGAAACGTCGTGAACCAAGATGTCTCCCAGCCATGTGTACATTGTAAGCAATGAAACGCTCTCCATTTGCAGTTACAGTCTGATAACTTGGGATTGTTATAGGTAATGATCTCTTTTCGGAATAATCATACCTAAATTATCCTAAATAGTTTTAAACTGCTTAAATATATCACTTTTAAGAAAATCTGATAAGCGTTACCTATAAGATGCTGAATTTTCTTCAATAAATCCACCATCAAAACGTTCTGCATCAACAGCATCCACAGAGATTACGACAAGAGCTAACTGATCCCCGCCATCTTTAATTAATTCTACAACCTGCTTATGAGTAGCTCCTTCCACATCAACTCCATTGCTGTAGTAATTATTTACTGCCTTAGAAAACAAGTTATAATATTGCGATTTTACTTGATTTCATTATAAATTGATTCTTGGTAGTAAAGAGAACATAACACACAAACATAGAATTTATCATGAGCTAATATAATGAGTACAAATAATCAAGCAAAAGTAAAAAATTACACTTTCAAAATTCTATCTCCTTTGAGTAATCCAGCATTTGCAGCTGCACTTCCTCTCAAAACTGCACTAACATATTGCAGAGGTGCATATAATTCACCATTTATACTTCTCAGTTGACCACCTTCGCTCACTTGTCCTTTTACATTAAAGCCGAAACCTGCAAACAAATATAGCACATGTAAAAATTCCTTGTGATTAAAAAACAAAAAAAGCACAAAACATCACCAGTATCAGTTTTGACGATCTTCACAAGATGCGGTTTGGGATTGAAGTTCTGTCTTTTGGTTATCATAATATAGTCTTCACTTGAATCACTTTCCTCACCCATCATGTTAATGTATCCAAAATTACCATTCGTCTATTGCTCCCGCTTAATATTTAAAACATGACACAATATAATTACAGTATTTTACTACTAGCACAGAATAGCTTCTACAAATACATTCACAAACAGTTTAAAATTAATATCATAATACTTTCACAAAATATTCAATAAAATTTCAATAAAAAAGACCTGTTTGATAACTACTAAGCAAATTCTTATATCCAGTATTATCACAACCATAAAATTTTTATATGTAAGTAGCTTATTGCTAAGCGTTTAATGATATTAATTCTGAATATGAAGTAAGCATCTTTTCCGTTTATTAAGCCATGATATCACGCACAGAGGATGAATGCATCGTATTAAAGCAGTAAAGAAAAAATAACGATTTTTTCAGCTTTTAAAATAATAAAAGCAAAAAATTTGGTTGTTTTTCTGATCTATACCAAGATGTGAAATTAAATTTTGGTAATAAGGTCAAGTCACACAAGTAGGAACAAATGAAATGAAAGTATATAAAAATTTATTAGAAATAAAAGGAATAATACGCGGCTATTACTTCAGATTCTAAATTATCTTTTCTCGATCCCACATATAATTCCACCCATTAATGCTATATTTTGAACTGAAGAACGAATAATCCAACTCAAATATTTACTAAACTGTACGAAAATCATAAATATAAGCTAACCTGAAAATCATACCCTCGTAACTTTAAACCACTGACTCGATTTACCCTCATTTTTCTCCTTGCAAGCAGTTATTAACAGATGATAATTATTCTGTACTTCTGAATCTAACTATAGTAAAATCAATAATAACACATAAACACAAATTTAGCTAAATTTATCTTTACTTTACTTCACATTAGCTTCAAATTATCAACAAGCAATGAACCACAGAATAACATCTTTCAGAGTATAGCCAATATGCAAATGCATAGATCACAAGCAAAATTTTAAATAATGCTCATTTGAATTAGTAACTGAAGACAGCCATGACATAGTTATTGCCTTCTGTCGATGACAGTAGTTATTCTGGTTGTTAAACATGTTTGGAAGAGGTCGATGTGCAAAATGTGGTGAACCACTTGATAATGAAGAAGTAATTTTTGTTCTTGGACATTTGTATCACTTAAATCATCTTCGCTGTAATTATTGCGATACTCGTATATCTCATGTTGAACAAGGTTTCATTCTCGATGGCACCAAACTTGCATGTTCTCGATGCCTCGACAATCTTAGTCCTAAATGTTATAAATGCAAGAAATCCATTGTTCACGAATACACTTCACATGGTATACTTACTTAACGTCTAAATTCAATATAAACTCACATAGTGACTGAAACTTAACTTCAGACCGAAATATTTTTAACTACAAGTTATCACAGATGGTCACCTTTACCACCGCGACTGCTTCAAATGTGCTAGATGTCACCGTGTTTTGGATACTGAATATTTCGAAGATGAAGACAGCCGTCCACTAGACAGAGATTGCTGTTGGGGACAAGTACTAATGGATCACATTGTCCGCGATATTGATAATATTGTTCCTTCCAAGTATTAATCGTATATTGTATACTTATCCCAAAACTATCTTTATTCGATCTTATGATGAGAAACCTAGATTAAATGTCAAGTTTAAAACCAGGATAACACAAAGAATTTGGTTCACATTTATTTCATGTCCAATCATTAAGTATACTAATTTTTCAAGCTACATAGTTTAGCAATCAAATTACTCATATATCCACACTTCATTATTCACATTCCAGTCGCACAATTCTTCTTGTTTAAACCAGTGAGCGATTTCACGTTCTGCAGACGGTAATGAATCTGAACCATGTACTATGTTTCTTCCTGTTTGAATGGAAAAATCTCCTCGAATTGTTCCTACAACAACATAGTAGTTAGCTTAAAAACAATCAGGAATTAAAAGCCGGTCTTTTCGAAAATGGAACTATTCATGGAATTTTATTTTAAAATGAGAACTGTTCGACAATTTTTTAAACTATCATAAAACTCAGCTATGATTTTTTTTACAGTAATGCATTTGAAGTACGAAAAATTTAACGAAAAAGAACTGAGACTTAATTTTACAATGTAAACAATTTACCTGGTAAAGAATTAAGAGGATTTGTCGCACCAAGCATCTGTCGTCCTTGATTTATTACATCAAGACCTTCCCATACCATAGCAACCACTGGCCCAGATGACATGTAATCTACTAATGCTTTGAAAAATGGCTTTTCTTTCAATTCTTGATAGTGAATCTGTAACAACAAGTTTATATTAATTATGCAGTTCAATAAAAATAACTTGAAAGATCACTCCATGAATTAGCATCTTATTAAAGTAGATGAGGCTACGCAGACATCGAAATTCAACTCGTTTTCTGATATGGATTAAATGATATCAGTTGGTAAAACAAACTTCTAAATGGGCTTTTGTAGCCTTCACCATTTTCATTCCTACTAATTTGAATCCTCGTTGTTCAAAACGTTCAATAATTTTTCCGATTAAACCGCGTTGCACAGCATCGGGTTTAATGCAGATAAATGTTCTTTCCTTTGTATTTGACATACTGTAGTCGTTTCCTCTTGTTTTTTCTGAAAGAAACAGAAAACTGCAATTCTCATCTTTAACTCTTTAAATATCAGTTGCATAAACTATTCTCAGCTGGGATAAAAGTCTTCAAATAATTGCTGCGACAATCGAATTAATTAATGTAATATAGAGTTTAAATTAGTTCTTCCCATAAAAAACGATGAACACATATAGCAATAAAATCGTAGATCATATCACAATCATAAGAATGCATATCTTAGTAAAGCATCTGATGGACATCTTAAGCATTGTCTAGTTACGGTTCAATCAAGAATCAAAAATTATATAGAGTAGGAAATTGCACAACAAGCTACCTGGAACAAAAATGATGAGCAGTAAATGCGAAGAGCAGACAAATTCTTATTTACTACATAAACACAGATATTCACCATGAGAAAAAACAACTATGCTAGAGAAAAGCTGAAGAGAGGAGTAATGAAGAGGATAAAACATTTCACTGCACGTACATTCGTTACTTCATAGATATCAGCAACACAAATAACAGTTACTTTAATAATATAACAACTCAAACAGATAGCCAAAAAAAGTATCACTAAGAACATCAGTAGTACAGAGTCATAAATATAGTTTCTGACACCTTCACGTAAAATGTATAAAGACATACGCAGTTAAAAACTGATATGTAACGATTTAACGTGAATGTTCGAAACGCTTTCTACGTTACCTTTCCTCATCTTTTTTTACTTCTAGTGAATAATTTACTGATAAGGAGATTTTTTCTGCTTTTGTTATCGATAATTTCCTTGTCCATTTCATTGAAATCTTTCTTTGAGAATTACTTACATTATGTCATAAAGTCAAAGAAACACATAGCGCACAATAAAATACTATAGAGATCAAGTCTGATCAATTCGGATTTACGACATATCATTTCTGCTTACATTATACAGTTAAAGCTTCTAAAAATTATTCTTACCATCAAGCTCAAAAAATAATATCCATCACAAAAATAAGTGATCATCGAATTTATTTACTGCACTTGCTTAATAACTGACGCAAAGCTACTACATTCATTTTTTGTAGTCTATTACAGTAATTCTATTTTTCTCTTCAATTTATCACCGTAGTCTGCAACCACAGAAACTAAAAGACAGTGTAAAATTTATACAACAGATATGTCAGACATACTTTATAAAAAATATTAAAAAACGGACTTTACAAAATGCAAAATGAAAGTAAGCGAGAAACCGTTAACTGATGAACAAGTATCAGGTGGCGAATCAGATGCTTGCACTGCTATTATCAACAAAAACGCAAACAATGAGCAACAGATTCGAAACGTCATCATAATGTTTTCCAATGACTAAAATGATGTTAGCTTTACAAAAGATCAACCAGTTTACGATTTAATTCCGTTGACTGAAATAGAATTTCAAATATTTATCAAAATGTCAATCTTCTAAAAATACTGACAACCACAAGTGATGTGACTGAATAAATAGCACTTTACCTACACATATTTGCAAAGTTGTAACTTATCACTACTGAATATTTTATATAATATCAAGTGACATGCCAAACTGTGCAGAAAAACGTATTAATTATACTTGCTAAATAAGCATAAAAATAAAAGGATACTTCTACTACCAATATTATCTGTTTTGACAATCTTGATCCAGTACTTAACAAGTGCATAAAAACAATGAAAATGAAGACTGTGAAAAAACTTAGGCATATTAACTATTATTAAAGTAATGAACGATTATAAAATATACTTCTGTTTCAGTGAATTTAAAATTCTACTCAGCAACTTTTGACAAAAACAACTAATCTTAAAAATTTTGATCACTATCTGAAAATTTAGTTATTATCTGCGACAAATTTAAATATGCCAACAAAAACATTATATAAGATTGGGGCTTAAAACCTAAAATCGTAGCTAAGCAAAAACATATTGTAATGATAAGCTTCATAAATTCAGTTTTGCAATCAAACAGTACGAGGAAAAACATATACAAATAACATCCTCATCCTTAGTTATGTTAGAATCTTTAACGTTTATTGATTACTTTATTTTTTATGTTCATTTTAGCAAAAATTCGTTCAGTTAATCCAATTTATGAAAAAAAAGTTCTATCAGCTAATTACGAATGAAAATTCAGGTTATTATAACTAAAAGATATCTAAAAAACGCATACTTTCATAATCGATGAATATATAAATAAAATAAAAATTGTCATAAGCATTTTCGAACAAATATTACAAACTTAAGTTCCACAATGTAGAGACAAAAACTTTAAAAAAAGATTTATGAGCGTATACATTTCAAAAGATTAGATTTGTAAAAGTATACAAATGACAAAGATATAGATGAAATATATCACAAAAACAGAAATTTAGAAAACGTGAAATTGAAAGACTGTACACGTTTTTCTGCTTAAAATGAAACTTAAAAACCTAAATAAATAACTGAAGACAAATTACAAAATAATCCACTTTCAGCTGATTAAAGATAAAACAAATATTATAATCATTGCTTTAAGCTGAAAATGTGATGTTAAAAATGTGTGCAAATTTTAAAAGCAATAATCTAAGCTTAAAATTAATAAATGTTTGCAAGTAAAATAGTTATATAAAAATTCTTTTCGTGTAAAAATCACGAAAAAGATTAATTTTTCAGTGATATAAATTTAAAAAAATAAATAATTAAAACTACCTAAGAGAGACTGCATCTGAATGCAATACTTGCCGAACATCACATGATTAGAATGATAAGTGCAAAACAATCGCCAACATTACTAAGCAACCAACATATTTCGAAAAATTTTGCAAGTAATTAGCATATATTATTATAAAGAATCTGAAATCAACAAACGCTTAATTAACTTATTATACGTAAATTTCATAAATATTTACAAAACTAATCAATTTCATGCAAAAAAAAAAAGTTTATTTTATATTAGTTAGTTAATTTCGGATGAACAGAAAACATTTCGCGTTGAGAGAAACTAAATTTTCAGTTATTTCTTTAAAAATATATAAAAGTGTGTAAAACACTCTTTTTTTATTACAAATTTATATACTTTTTAATAAGCAAAATCATAGCGTTGTAGAAACTTATTAATCAAATATTATGAGACATATTGTGTATTAAAATAAGTAAAGTTAGACAGAGAAGAAAATGAAGAACGTACAAAAATAAATGTAACCTGACTGGATTTCAGTGCAAATAATACACTTACACGCTAAAACAATAAGGAGTGAAGAGTAAAAATTATCAGATAAAAAATTATCAAATCCGAGAAGTTCCACTCACAGTGCTATTATTAATGTGCCTAATATAATTGTCGAATTCTATTTTGATAGCCAATGTGAGTGGTCACTGTGAAATAAAATGTTTCTTGCTTTACAAGTCTAAATGAAAAGTTTTGTAAAAAGTTTCTTGTGTCTTATTATTTAGTAATTATATATTTAAATATGTATTTATTCTTAAAGAGCTTTGTATTTCACAAAACAGAAAAATCTAAAATTTAAAAGTAAATTAGTGAAATGGAATGAAAATACAGAATTACTGTGATGAAAAGGATGAAATAATTTTTGCAAGAAACATACTGTAGTCATAATTCTTCTACTTTAGTTATAGTTTCTAATGATACTACCAGAATTTATTGAGTATTATTTATTAAGGTGATTTATAATCAATAACATTAATCTAACATTTGTTTGCATTTTTGATCTTTCTGAGAGTTAGAAACCTTACGATGATGGCATTTATTTGAAAATGTTCAATATTAGTTCATAAATTTGTATGCTGCAAAAATAGATAACAGCGAAAATTACTCAGAATTCACTCATTTAGAACACTCTGTTCAAGATCTCAAAATGAAACTTTATAAATAATTTATAATCGAAACGAATTGGATATGCTGAAGGGTTTCATGTGAGGATTCAGATGACAAAATCATTGAAATATTTTGTGTTTTCGAGGCACAAACATACACTCATATATGAATCTCACTAAATGATTTAGAATCTCTCGTAGAAATCAATCAATTAAGAGTTATAAAGCTGAAAAAATTCATTTCAAAGTAATTTTTGAGACTTGTAAAATATTATTTTGTCTTTGCAATTGAAAGTTTAATACTAAAAATGCAATCTAAATTATTCATAGCATGCATTAGTGTAAGCGATGTAAACTTAAAAATTTGATGTATATGAAATGATATCATTTTTTAATATACGTTTGAAATGAATGCAAACAGAAGTAATGTTAAGTAATCAAAATGAGTAATCGTAAGAAAGTACGTGAAGTACATCTTCTTTCTATAACAAAGTGTATTATCACTCACTGAATATAAATAGCAATAGAATCGCTTTTTACTAAATTTAATGCCACGTCTTTATCGAGCTTATAACAGTATCAGATAACAACATCAGATTCACATAATCGTTCTTCGTATTCAGAAGTATTTCTCCTTCTAATGAAATTTTTTGTTGCATGCTTCTGACTTCTGTTGAAGAATTACTGCTTTTTTTTCGCTTTACTTTGATAGCTTTTTGCTGAATACTTCATAATTGACAAAAATTAAAACACTAAATTACTACTACCATTCATTGCCACAGAAAATTGACAAAAAATTGTTTGAATTCTAAAAAATATCAAAATTGAAATAATACAAATTTCAAGCATTTTTTTTTGAAAGTATAAAATGCCATATACGAGTGTGACATGATATTCTGATCCATGTTATGAGTTGAAATTTTTTCCTTTATTTGATTCAGACAAAATTCAGTACAAAATAAAATTACTTCAATAACAAGAGTGAAAAAATTGCGCCTTCACTGTCATCATCTATGCACTTGCAAAATGTTTGCATGATTCTGTGTAAAGTATACGCAAAAAGTTAGCTGTGAAGCTTAAGTAAGTTTCAGTGCTTGCTTGCCACAAAGGATAATCTCTTGAGGGAGTTGCTTCTGCATTATCATCCATAAACACAACTCTCGACTTTCACTTTCGAGAGTTTCCGCCCGAAATGGCGATTATGCGTTTTTCATTTCAACAAAATGCTATAACATTTGTTTATTTTATTTCAAATTACTTTGTTTCGTTTTTATTATTATGTTATTAATATCTTTAAATATCCCAGGAATCTTGAAAACTCATTCCAGAAAGCTACAGTGATCACATTGAGTGCGAATAATCGAGATATCTTGAAGTACAAAATTAAAAATAAAATCTTTAAGGTCGAAAGTTCACAAAAATTGAATAAATGCCTTCATGAATTAATACATAACGGAAAATCAATAACAATGCGATCATTGTAGATACTTTCAAGCAAAATATTTTGTACAAAAGTTGGTTAAAAGTCTTAAATGATTCTCCAAATAAATCCTTACAGTATGAACATATTACTGTAAGTTATTGTTGTCTGTCATTACATTCTTAATCATTTCATTATAGAGTAAAAAGTTTTTTAATCATTCTATTATATTGATATTTAATCATATATGCATTATATACTAAATAAATAAAGTGATTTAGTGAAAAATCCGATTACTTAATAACGTCAAATAGTTTTGTAAAAAATAGCTTACTTTGTATACAGTTATTTCACTGTTAAAATTACAAAATACTAGCTTCCTGTTTTGCTGATATTTCACGTTTCACGTTTCACGTTTCAGTTTCACATTTGTAATTTTGAAAAAAGGATTGGTGTCATAGCTATAACATTGAATTCTAAATTATTTTAATGCATTTGCACACTTGCTTACTTATGTAATCCACGCAAATTTTTTAACTTTAATATTGCAAATCAATGTATGGTGCATTAGCAACTTAATTTATTTATAAAGTAATTAGTAAAAAGCAGTTGTAAAATGGGAATTTGTCTTTTGGGAACAAAAAATACAAAAATGACATCTTTTAATAAATGCAATATTTTGAAAAAGAATTAAAGTCTTTCCAATGTTTATTTTTTCAATGCATTATCCATTTTAATTCAAAAATAACCTCAAAATTTTGCATTAATTTCAATTTTCCGTTTCATACTTTCAAATTTATTTCAATAAATTTTTGCTAAAAGGCATAAAAAGTAAGAGTTCAGATGCGTCCAACTAGAAGTAAGCAAACTAAAGTTAAAAAAAGGGAATTGTTTAGCAGCCTAGTTTCTAGCTTACATCTGTGATGCTTAATCTAGTCTTGTTTCTTCTAAGCTTATAACTTGCAATATACTCTAAAAACAATTCTTTACTTGGAACTTCCTTAGTCAGGCTTGAAGACAAGACCTGAAATTCAGAGAGAGTCAGAAAAATTGGATTTTTCATTTTAGAGCATTTAGCACTTTCTTACTTTTCCAAAGCTTCACTCTTTGCATTCGCCTTAAAATAAATATTCAACGTAAATGACTATATATACATAAACGTTTTTTCCGCTGAAAATATTAATATGCATATATATTATGTTTATTTATATACGTTACTTCACGCATTTATCAGTTGTTGAAAATTATTTTATCACAATTTTAATTTATTGATGAAATTTTTAATCTTATATTTACATGTTGTTCGCTTTTCATGTGCATCATTCCATAGATACTTACTACAAGATCTTTTTTTTCCAAGTTTTTATTTAAAAATAAACATTTACTGTAGATTACATGTGAAAACTACTTGATTGCATTTCAGTATTGCAATAAATTGTATACTTCACTCTTATTTTCTGTATTTAATGCTATATAATGACAGTAAAAGTTTATTTTTTCCGTATAATTAATCATTTATACGTGAATTTTTACTTTTTTTGAAAATTATTCATTATTTTGTAGCGCAAAAACCTTTAATATAATATAACAACTTATTGATCAAATAATATGGTATAAAAAGCAAAAAGTTATTCTTCAATCTGAGCAAAAGCTTGTCAAGTTTAATTAAAGACTACAAGATTGTTTGACTCAAAACAACTCAACGAGAGCCATTTTACAACTTAATATTTTCTACTGCACAGCTGAAAAAGTCAAGATTTGTTATCTCAGTAAATGAAATTTATAAGGAATTCTTCAAAATAACACTTAATTATCACTTACGATCACAGCTCAAGTAGAGGATTTTAAATTGAATTCCACATTTTCATAGTTTTTATTTGAGTCAAAATAAAATTTATTGACTAAATCAATTACTAAGCAATAAAAATCACGTATAATATCAGTTTGATTTTGCTTGAATAATAAAGATCTCAGTACTTCTATTAACCTGAATCAAATTGTTCAATTATTATTGAATTTCCTAGCTGATAATAGTACTTCGAAGCTTTTGTCCTAACTCAAATGAAAGCAAATATTGTAAAATATAAAATTTGAAAAAAATTATTTGTAATTTACATTGATATATTTTAAATGTTTTAGATTACAAAACTTATCTTCCTTATTTATACTTCTCTCTGATTTCTTTTCAGCTTTCTGATCATTTTGATTATTGCCAATTTCATTTTTTATAGCGTAA